GGCTAGCTAACAAAGATTTCGTTTCTCAATGACTTATAAATCGTTTTTCTCGACTTGAACGTGCGCAACCTTGCTTCGAGCTTGTTGCGTTCTCTATTGAAACTACCACGAGAGATTCCTCTAAATACCTGCTCTCCCTCCGTGAATGCAAACCAAGGTTTAGAATTGGATTGTTGAGGTGTGCCTTTGCTACCTGGGCTGGTTATAGTTACGATTTGGTGATTCGTGGCTTTCAAAGTTAGCGAAGCGAGGCCGGGATTTAAATGCTGGCTGTTGCAGCACAATGTGTTTGAGGTAAAATGGGAACGCCAGGTATTCCAATTTTCCTCGAAACGTTAGTTCTTTGGGCGTGTTAGTCTCTTTCTCTCTGTAGATAAAATGCTTTCGATCTTCTACCCTCTTGCTCGAATCACGGAATCTTCACAAGCTTGGGCAAATAAATTTCACTGTGACGTGATAATATTATCGAAGTCGCTATCTAATCCCTGCTTTCCCGAATTTTCTAAAGGAATTTTTAACAATAAAAACCGATGGAATAGAGCTGTACTTTCGAAAGACGAAAGAGTAATTCAGAATTTTTTCTTTCTTTCAATCTCTCACGATTGAATTTATATATATTGAAATTACTTCTTTTTTTTTTTTTCGATAGAATTAAAAAATGGAAAAGATAGAATTTGATACATTAATCGATAGAAATTGTGTAAATGAAATGGGTTCAACGGAATTCTAGATTGTATGAGAAATTGAGCAACACTGAGCCTTCGATGTGCTGAATTTTTATCGAGTCAGCTCTTGTAGAAAATCAAACGTGTTTTATTAAGAAGGCTGTCGATATCTATTTATACGGCGACCTTTTGTTATCCATGTGACCTTCCACGAGGCCATGCAACGTATCTTCTCGCGAGTAAAAATAGAACGTAGATACTAGAAAATGCATAATCCCATCTTTGGGAATACGCCTGGAGAGTTCTTGCGCGCTCGAAATTTGCAAAACAGATGAGTCAGAAAAATTCTAATGTAATTCAATCACGTATTTCGATTCCTGCGTGCATTTTTAAAGAGCACAGAATATGATAAAATATATAAAATATCCGAAGCATAATCTAATTCATCCTTCGTAGTTCGCCTTCAAAAGTACTTTGAATTAAAAGAAAAAAATTCCATGAAATTGTTCGAATACTTATCGATTACAGAAAATTAGATAATAACATAGGAAACATACGTAAAAGGTGTTACACGTTCCGAATTCGTTCCGAACGAATTATGTCAACGAGTTGTGTCAAAGGCGATACTTAATGGAATAGCTAATAGCAGATTATGCGGGTATGTAGATGAGTGGCAGAAACAGAATCTAGGGTTGCAGGACCGATTGATAAATTAACAAGAAGGGTTAATCGGCATACCGCAGGGGTGAGGGTAATGCGATCTCGGGAAGTGCGCGTGGTTTGCCGGATGTGGCAAGTGGGAATGCGAGTGTGCCGCCATTGTGAATGGATAACCCTGGTTATCCATCTCCATTTCCATTCCAAGTCGGCATCGGACTATCTGCAGCACTGGATATCCATCCATCTTCTTCCTTGCAACCCCTCACTCCATAAACGAAGCTTCACCACCAGCGTTCGATGTCTCTTCGATGTCACTTCTTCCCGTTCGCCTCGATTATAACACGTGTTGTCCCAGTCACTTTCAATATTCTTCTTCTTCACTGACGATTCAGATCGTAGATTCAGATCCGCTGCACGATCATTTCGTTCAACTTTCTACAACGTCGTGTTGCTCGACAGTTGCGTGTCGTAACCCGCGTGATTCATTTCAACACGCTGTTAGAAAAATATATCGGACTACAATTGCTAGCTTTCGGATTCCTTTTCGTTTTCACGTAAGTGAATAAAAGAGATTTAAACGAGACTGCATCACACACCGTGCTGCCTGATAGTTTACCACGTTTGCGCGTCGCACGATTCTTCGCCAAGGTCAATCCTTCATCGAACACTTCCTCATTAATCGTTTCACGTTCGCGTACACGCGTCAGTCACCAACGTCGATTATCCTCGTACCCTTCCCATGCACGATCGTCTTTCAAAAATCGAATGGGAAACTCTTGTAAACATTCTTGTTCAAGAGAAGAAAAGAAACTGTATATACGTGTCACATGTTGTGACGAGTAGCGCTGCTACTGCCCCGTATCCGCGTCTCCACACGTTCAGGTCGTTTGAAACGAATGCGAGAGCACAACAACTGGAGAGGCACTCCACGAGAGATCTCCGTTGGCCCGCACGTTGGCTCCGAGGTGTCCCACAGGTGGTAGTGGTGGTGGTGATTTCGAGTTCGAGGCCTCAAGCTCGGGATTCCTTCGCAGGGTCATCCAAGATGGCATTCGTCGAGCAGCCATTCGCTCGGCCAGCGTGGATGAACGTCAGGGTTGGTAAAAGTATCGTGGCTTGTTGTTCGATTCGCAGCATTCTTCGTCACGATGCTTCTGGCTTCTCGGTTGCTGGCGAGCATCGACTGGTCGATACACCGTGACGATTCCAGCGACCCGACGCGGTCGCCCGTCGAAATTCCACGGGGGTTGTTCCACCGGGGCAAGTAGTATCGGTCAACGATGCGTTCCGCGTTGTCGATAAAGCGCGCCACGTCCGCTATTGATAAAGCAACAACGGATCGGCAAGCGCGTTGCTGTTCCACGTCATCCTTGCTGATACTGCAGACATACTCGGATGATCGTCGAGCCAAGTGACTAAGGGTGGAGCTACCGGAGCCACCATCTCGCCGGTGCACGCGGTAGCTACCGTCCAATTTCAAGCGAGTTTCAGGAAACACTGTCCAACCGCGTGACATGAGCGAGCGTTTTAAGCGGAAATCAAACGCTTGGGGGATGGGGAAGAGCGGTTCGAACACCGGGCGATATTGTGTATCTGCCATTCAAATGGCCAAGCCAACGTGTAAGAGATATTGATTCGCTGTTTCACAGGAGATATCGTGTTTCGAACGTTGCTCCAAGTGTCTCGCTTTGCCTTCGTTACTTAGGCAGATATACGATTCGTGCAGCGTTTATTTGGAGAAAGCGTTTGTGACACGTAAGAGGAAATTTGAAGTAATTATCGTGGCTTTAAAAAAAATTTTTTTTTTTTTTTTTTTCGTTTCTACAAAATTGACGAGCTTTGCGACGAGAAGGTTTATAGGACAATATAGCGAGTCGAGTAAACTATTTTGGAAATTCTGGTTCTAGTTTTTCAACATTGGTCAATCTGCCTCGTATCCACAAAAAAGCTTTCTCTTATATGTAAGTCAATGAATTTAATGTCGAGTGATTTGATCAATGAGGAGAAAGATTTCATTTCAAATTGATTAAATAAACGATCTGATTCTTGAACAGTTATACTTGATTAATCTGAATGAAGCTATCGGGTTGTTATTTTCGTAAAATTGATCAATTAGTACAGCGTTTCGATGAGATATATCTTCGGATATGTAACGTGATGATCGATTATTATCATTGTTAACAAAGTAAAATAAAGGAGGCACTTACATTGATTGACAGACGTAGTTTCGTATCGTCTGGTTGGCCTAGGGGGTGGCCGCGGAGGAAGTGCTGGCGGTTGATGCGTTCTTGATGTCACTTCGACACCTCCGTCGTTTTCACCCTCTTGCCCCCTTTTGTTTCCTCCAGTTTGCACCACGTGACATTGGCATTTACTTTTCGAAGGGGCCGACACCTAAACATAAAAATTCAGACAAAGAAATTCCTGAGAGGTTCAAAAGAAAAAAAAAAAAAAAAGAAAAGAAACATTGATGATTTTTTTTCCACCAAAAAACACGATTTAAAAAATATATGTAAAATTACTTGCCATTGATTAATCGTTAAACCGTGTACATCACGCTGTTATCACGCCGGTAAATTGCATAATGAAGTGTTATAGAAGTCATGCGAGTAACAGTTTTGCGTCAGTGCGTAAATGCGTTAATGATTAACGATCGTTCTCGCCGGTAAACGCATTCAAATTTTGGTGAAAATATATAATGCAGTATATTAAATTGCTTGAAAGTTTTCGATCATTTGCAATAAATCTTTTAAATTCAAATTTCAACTCTTCTGTTCTAGGTCTAGGAATATCTCTATATTGATATTGAATTTTATTGATTCTGGACTTTTAATTTGGAAAAGATTTATGCTTCAAGTTATGACATGATACTTTTCTGAGATAAAAAAAGAAATACTTGAAATAATTTTATAATTACCGCTACGTAGTTATACATTTTTACATTAGCTAGAACTCTTTGAAACGTCGCTTTAGAAAAATCTACCTGCCCGGAAATTTCCAATACACGTTACTGTACAGTTCAGAGTACGTGAACGAATATCTGGATCCTTGGGTCTCTTTAAAAGATTTGCAGAACTTAGTTAATATCCAAGGCTCATTGTGAAATTCAAAATTGCAACTTGCGATCCAGTCTAACTGGATAACTACTCGGCTAATTAAATCGAAATTTCCAAACCTGTATCGAGTCGACTCCGATGAGAGACGTAGTTTTAGTGTCGTTACTCTGCGCGTGCTGGTGCCCATGGCCGTGCATGTGCGCGTGATGATGCCCATGGTGCTCGAGACTCGACGGAGCCCTGTCTCTTTGCCTCGTGTCTGAATGGCCAGAGTGCAACGAATGCACTTGTTGCAAATGATGGTGGTGATCGTGCACGTGATCCAAACGGCTGTGCGTTCTCGTATTGGCGTTCGACGAGGAGGACTCGCAGGATATGCCAGAGCTCACGTGATGATGATTCACGCTCGAATGTCCGGTCAAACTTCCCGACGAACTGCCGTGGTGGTGGCTGGCCAGCGGCGTGGTCGAGAGGCTGCTGTTCGCGTTGACCACGTGCCGATGAACCGCTGGCGACGAGCCGCCGTGATTTAACATGCTCGAATTCGACGAGGCGCCGCTCATCGCGCTCGAGGTATCGTGATGATCGCTGGAGAAGCCTGAGTTTGAAGGATAGTGGCCGGTTAGGCCGGCGCCACCGCTCAGACGATGATGACTCGTCGGTGAGTTTCTGTGGGCCATCGTGGCGGACGTCGCCATCGACGCGTTCAGATGATGATGAGCAGTCGGATTTCCACTCGCCGTTTGATTCCCGTGACTGGCGTTCGAACCGCCTAAAGGACCGCCGGTGTTCCCGTGGACGTGGCCGGTCAGGCTGGACGGCAGGTTTCCATGATGGTGCGTCGCTATTCCTTGCGGGCCGTGCGGATGATGCACGGTCGTCGGCCCGTGATGATGGGCGACGTTCGTGGTCTTGGTGTTGCCGTGGTGATGATGAGTGTGCTGTCGCTGAGCGTGCTGCTGAAATCCCATCAATCCGTCCGCAACGTCCAAATTCGCGGTGCCTCGGAAATTGTCGGCGTGCTTGTGCACGTGCGCGTGGCTGTCGCCGACGTGGAAATGCCCGTGGACGTTGCGTTCCGCGGAGGTTGGCTCGTGATGATGTTGATAAGGATTCAGAATGTTCTGCTGAATGTTCTTCAGCTTGTCTTTACCGTTGGCGGCGGCCGCTTTCTGAGATAACGCGGCGTGCTGATCGTCTGTTAGCTGTTTGTCCAGCTCTTTTGCGGACGCAACGTCGAGCAACGCCACCGAGCCAGACTCCAACAAAGGGCTAGGGCTGGAGGTTAGGCTGTGTTGGTTGTCCTGCAAGTTACCGGATTCCTGAACTCTTCTCGCAGCCTCGAAGGCCAAGTTCCGGGAGAGGTCCAAGTTCCTCGGGCTGCAGGAAAGATTGTGACCGTGTCTGGACAAAATTGCATTTTGACTGTCCATCGATCTGGTACCGGGCAAGTTAGCTTGATGCTCCAGCATGTCGACGTTTCTCGCGTTCTCTAAATTCATCTGCTGGCTCTCTTGATGAGACAGCGGACTTTCTAGTCTTCTTATCGGTTCGAAAGCGCTCTGAAGCGCCTCTAAACCCCTCGGGAGTTCTTTGGGGTTGTTGGAAATTCTTGTACTTCCCACACTCCTCTCCGCTCTATCCCTCGGTGCTCTCATGGAATCCATGCTACTCATTGCGGAACACTGGCACGAGTGTTGCGGACTTTCCGGAACGTCCAGGTCGGTGGTTAATTGCGGCTGGGACATCGTAATATCTGAAAAATGCACGACCGTTGGCCGATTTCTCGTTAACGAACGATTCGTTCGCTCGCTGGTGAAACGAAGCGAAATTCGAGCGCAGCGGAACGACGTCCAGCTTCTCGGAGTTTCGGATTAATCGTTTATCGGGCTTGATCTGAGAACTCGAGAGATACGCCGAAGCACGATACGTTCGTTTTCGCGATCGCGATCGATCACGACCCGTTCACGGGTCAGTCGTACCCGGTTTCTCGCATCTCCTGTGGAAGATCGACTCGTTTCCATGCTCGCTAACAGCGACTTGATAAATCGTTGCCGATTGCAAGACAGCGTGAACTTAGCGTGATCGCTGTTCACGAACGTGAAATAAAAAGATTTTCATCATCGTTGGAAGAGTAGGAATATTTTTTGATATTTTTCCCTTTGTTTAGAAATACTGACAGACTTTCAAGAGTCTTAGGATTTATACACTGAAATGTGAATAGGATGGGTTAAGGAATGGCTCGACGAATGATTCTACATTTTTTTTATTTGGGAAATAATTACTAAGAATATATGATGTTTCTGCGATTATTATTATATTAAACTTTCTTCTTTAAATAGATTCGATGATTAATGGACAACGGGTGTTTAAGTGTGTTTATAAAATGAAACCTAAATGAAAAATCACTTAATAAATAATCTCTACTATTTATTAATAATCGATATTATACAAGAGGTATTAGATATCTCACGTGCAATCACGGACTTTTCCAATAACTGGAGATGTAAAATTTCTATATATATATATATATATATAT